CGCCACTGCGCAGGCGCGCGCCGCCGGTCTCCCACCCACCCGGAGTCGCCCCGGCCCGGGGAGTTCCAGGCCCAGGCAGGCCCACGCGAGGACGCAGTGCGCCTGCGCGGAGCTCCCGCCACGCCACCGTTACCTTAGTTACTACGGGGTTCCCTCCCCAGTTCCTGGTTCAATTTAGCGCCTTCGTTTCAGGGTCAGCGGTGGTCGGTCTCCGAGCGTCGAAGTCATCAGAACGGACGTGTCTGGAAAATTAGGAGAGGCTTGTAAGAATGTAGAAAACAACGCGGAGTCATGGAGAAGAAAATAAGACGGTGCGTCCCGGCAGGCTGTCGGGGCTCTCTTGGCCCATACGGCTTTTTGGGTTGATAAATGCCTATTTACACGTTTAAACACGAGGATTTCGCCCTGTCGCCCACCTGTATACTTTATCAGCTAATAATAGACTGAACTCGAGCATCAACTCTGTTTAAATCCCGACCCAGTTTTGTATAAGGTTGGGCTTTAGCCTGCCTGTATCTTAGGCTCTACATCTGCAAAGGGATATCGTATTATTTATTATCTGTCTCCTAGGATGTCTGCAGAATTAAACACGATATTGAATGAAAAAGCACTTACTTAGCACATGCCTAGGATTCAGGGAGAACTTGGAAATTTACATAATGGGAGCTGGGCGGGGGTGTGCCAGACTGTTAGCTTTTGAGCATTTGCCTACCATGGAAGAAGGCCTTAGATTTTGTTACCTACATCCAGACAAACACACACAAAACAAACAAGCATCAACAACAGTAAAACAGTTTGAGATATGCTCACTCTGAGAGTTAGGTTCCCAGCACCCATGTGGGGCCACTCACAGAGGCCAGTAACTCGCGCTCCAGGGGATCTAACACCTCTGGGCCTTTGAGAGCCCTTGTATTTACCCACACAACACAACACACACACACAGTTAAAATTAACAAAAGTAAATCTTTAAAAACAAAACGCGGTTGAGCACGTTGTAAGAGGCACTAACTGTGGTGTTTGACCTTAGTCCTGGTTTTAAAGAAAGCTTTAGGAAGTGGAAGAAAGGACAACGCGGGAGATGATTTACCTCTTGTCAGTGAAAGAATAACTTCCCTAAGACTTGTTATTCATTAAAAACTGTCTGTAAAAGTCTCCTTGTTTGCTAAAGCAGGGAACTGATTGACACTTATCTGGGAGGTGGCCTTGACTGTAAAGATAAAGAGCTCCAGGCACCCAAAAGTAGTGGTTTCTGAATTTGTGGTTCTGTGAGTCTAGTCAGGGTCAATAATTTTCATAGGAAGGTTTTGATTCTTTCACTACAATGACAACACAGCTGAATTTTCCAGAGACTACAGCGCCTTTGTAATAGTTTAAGGGTAGAGCATATCCCAACCAAGCCAGAAGTAAGAGAATTTACAAAAATCAAAACAAAATTACCGCACTGATACTTTTAAATGTTTTATAAAAATGTTATTTTTTTAAATTTGTAATATAATTGTTTTATGATATATTAATCAAAGTATTTTACATGACCTTTTCACTCTCACTACAGTAAATGCTGACAGATATGATCCATATGAAAGCTCCTGTAATCCTTAATATGTTTTATGAGTCAAGGGCCAAAGAATGTCTCTCCAGACCCTGAGGTCAGCTGGGAAAATTTCACTTTCAGAAATTTACCTTAGCAGTGCCCTCTTCCATGACCTTAGAAAGGGTCTTAGCAATATGTCTACATGACCATATACTTGTATAAACTTTGTAAAAAAGTAAGATATTTTTACTGTTCTTGTTCATCCTCAGTGACTTCCTCTTGACTAGAGGTGTTGGAGTAGCTGGCAGGCATCTAAAAAATTTTTTGCTAAAATTGAACTCGGGTAACATTTGGTTTGAGTTTAGTAAGATTTATTTTTGTAGCCTGGAGCCTCTTTTCTATGTGGTTAGGATATTGCCAGCTGTCCCAAGCTTCCAAGAATACTCTCCCCACCCATTGTGCCAGCCCTCCCAGTATTATGAAAGAAAGGTGCAAGACCAGACCTCTTATCGGTACGTGAATGGATGCTTTGTTCTAGAGTCAAAAATGTGTGACTTGGAATGTTCACCTCAGTAGCAGATTGCTTGGTAGCTTGTGTGATGCTATTGGTTCAGACCCCAGCACTGCAAAAAGAAAATAATAAAAATGGGAAGATAGCAGAGGAAAAGCAGAATTGAAATTAAGGGAGCATGCGGCTGATCTATGGCACTTTGTCCGTGTGTGTGTGTGTGTGTGTGTGTGTGTGTGTGTGAGAGAGAGAGAGAGAGAGAGAGAGGAGGGGGGTGGAGGGAGAGAGAGACTTTATTTTTATTTGGGTTTTTTGAAACAGGGTCTCACACTATAGGCTACGATAATGGGAAGTTACTGTGTAGCTAGCCTCAAAACTGTGATAATCCTCCTGCCTCAGTCTTTAAATTGGCGAGTTCTTTTTAATTTTTTTCAGATCAGTTCCTAAAAGAGGACCCAGCAGCTTTTCCCTTCCTTTCTGTGGGAGGCTCTGCCCTGTAACCAACGGTGCAAAAATCCAAGAGTCCTCATTCCGTGTGGTCTGCCTATTATGTTAGGGCTGGAATTACAGGAGCTGCCACCAATCGGGCTTGGTGGGTACTATTTTAAGTTAAAGATTTAGTGCTTATCAATGCATAGTTTAAAAGGATGTCCTCTCCTGTTAAATTTTAAAGAACGGCAAGGTAGAATGCTGTCCCTTTGGAGAAATCTGATGTGCCCCCAATTTTTTTCAGTCATTAGAGTAAAGAAACTGTTGGTGATGTCTCCAGGTTTAATGGCAATCCTAGAGTTTATAAGATGTTATCAAGAAGTTCTAAATGGGCTAGTTATAAGCACTGGCTGCTCTTTTAAAGGACTTGGGTTTGACTCCTGGCTCCCACAGGGTGGCTCACAATGACTGTTACTCCAGGGGATCCTCCACCTTGTCTGGGCCTCCAAGGACAACAGGCAGGAACCTCGTGCACAGAAGGCACACAATTCTAAACTATCTCTGTATCACTTATCACATTAGGAGACAAAGAGGCCAGGCAGTGGTGGTTCAAGCCTTTAATCACTTGGGGAGGGAGAGGCGGGTGGATCTCTGTGAGTTCAAGGTCAGCCTGATCTACAGAGGGAGTTGCCGGACAGCCAAGGATATATAGAAAGGCATTGTCTCAAAGAGAAAGAGAGAGAGCGCGGGATAAAGAGAGTATCAAGGGAAAAACAATAGAGAAAATCAATACAAATGTGTGCCAGGCAATTAATTTAAAAATTGCATTTTGCAAGTGTGGTAGCACTTTCTGTAATCTTAGCCTTGAGGAGGTTAAGCCAGAAGAGTGAGAATTCAAGACCAGCTTAGGCTACATTGTGGGAGTATGTCTCAGAAGTCTTTTCTTCTTCAGCTTGATGATGGTGGTGACGACAATTGTCTTCGGGTGCTGATTGCTGCTGTGACAATATCTGAGGCTGATTTGGGCTGACAGTTTTGAAACGCTTAAGCTCAAGATCATAGCTAGCAAAGGCCTCATGCTGTATCGTAACATGACAGGTGTCATCTCATGGGATATGGGAAGGGAGGGAGAAATACAGGGAGAGAGAAAGGAGGAGGTGGAAAGGAGGATGAAGGGGTTGAACTAATTCTGTCTCTGTCTCTGTCTCTCTCTCTCTCTCTCTCTCTCTCTCTCTCTGGTTTTGGTTTTTTGAGACAGGGTTTCTCTGTATAGCCCTGGCTGCCCTGGAATTCTGTAGACCTCTGAGATCCTCCTGAGTGCTGGGATTAAAGGTGTGTACCACCACTGCCCTGAAAACTCTCTTAACCTTGTTATATTGGGTTCTAAAGCTCTAGTATATGACTCTGGAGGAACAAAATGCATCCAAAATACACGTCCTATTAAGTCTATGCCTGCTCAGCCCAATTATCCCTGCTCTGCTAGGACGAAAATTACAGGGAGGATAGTAAAGTGCTAGGACCCCCGCCTGGATTCTCCAGCCTGACTCTAAACCCACAAAATCTCCAGGCCTCTTGAACTTAAGAAGTTGGAGATGCTCATCAGTCAACTGCTTCTTGAGTAGAATTTTAAAAGTTACAACTAGCCAGGCAGTGGTGGCGCACACCTTTAATCCCAGCACTTGGGAGGCAGAGGCAGGCAGATCTCTGTGAGTTCGAAGCCAACCTGGTCTACAAGAGCTAGCTCCAGGACAGGCCCCAAAACTACAGAGAAACCCTGTCTCAGAAAACCAAAAAATAAAAAAAATGTAAAAAGCTACAAATATTCTTAGAAAGTCTCTTCTGTAACGATGGTTGCTATAAGCAGGAGTGGTTTTAAATGAAGCTAGTTCAGACTTGAACCCCTATGACAAGCTTCCTCATTTTTAAAGAAGTCTGACTTCTTTAAAAAGTTCTCTGAAGAAGTCTTACGCTCATAGCCCATTGTCAGCTCTCTCTCCACCCCAGGAATCGTGCTTCCAAGGCTATCTACCCACTCCTGCTTTTGAAAATTGGTC